CTCTTAAACATAAGATTCCAAAGCATGCATATAGAAAAAGGACAAGTGTAATATGTTTGTGTACTTCCTGTTAAGGGCTTCATGATCCAGACAGGAGATCCAACAGGAACTGGTATGGGAGGAGAAAGCATATGGGGAGGAGAATTTGAAGATGAGTTTCATTCAACATTACGACATGACAGACCATATACACTCAGCATGGCCAACGCTGGATCAAATACTAATGGATCTCAGTTTTTCATAACAGTAGTACCAACGGTAAGTAGAACAGCAGTCTATAAGCCACAGATTCATAGATTATGATCTAAGAATGAATTCAGTGGAAGAGAGCTGCAGTATTGTCTACCATTATTTATATCTGCCAGGATATAAAAATAAAAATTTAAATGAGAAAGTGTAATACAAATTGGATTTTACTTTGTAAAACAATACTTCTGTAACTCAGGACACTTGAGTTTAAGTCAACTTTGCCAGTACTAGCTGTACAACAGAAAACAAATTATTTCACTTCTGGGGCTGTTTCCTTATCTTTAGAATGGGAGGAATTAGAGCATATGAATTTTCAATTTTAATGCAGCCCATAATCAATGGCACTGTAGATTTGATATAATACAGCATAAGAATATTGAGCTCTCTTGCTGTGCAGTTACACAAAATTATACAAATTATTACACTTTATGTTTTGGAATTAAGCACCATGCAATAAAGGAGCAATATTTATAATTACTATCAGGCACAAAGTCTCATGTAATCGTCACAGTACTTCTTGTATCACTATACCCAGTTTTAAAAACTAGATGAGGAAATGAACAGTGAGATATGTATGATTAACTTGCCAGAGGTCAAGTAGGCAGCAGAGCCAGAATTTGAGCTCCCATCTCTAATATGAAAGCACGTGCTGCTTAAATAGTTCCAAACTGCCTCTTACTTATGCAGGTAGGATTCTTGCAGAGAGCTTTTAAAGCCTTAGCCATAATTCGTTAAGCCATGCAGAGAAATTTAGCTTTAGCAAACATCTTCCGCTCCCTTTAGTCTGAAAGATGCAGATATCTAATTAAACATTATACTATGCTTTTATATTTTTTCATATAATTATGGAAATCACTCTTAAAAGCTGCTAAATGAAATGAACTGTACATCCTTTTATTTAAATTTTAAAAATGAAGGATAAATTTAAATTCTCTTTAATTTGCTCGCCCAGAGGGTGTGATCTAAGAAATCTGGGTTTACCAAGATCTTCCATTTCTCCTCCAATGCAGCCTTGGCTTGATAATAAGCACACAGTATTTGGACGAGTGACTAAAGGAATGGAAGTTGTACAAAGGATCTCCAATGTCAAAGTCAATCCCAAAACAGATAAGCCCTATGAGGATGTCAGCATCATAAATATTACTGTCAAGTAAAATAAGGTTTGTTTCAATTTGTAAATAAAAAAATACACATATATCAAAAAGGGTTATTTTACATTAGGAAGTTCTTAGGACTTGCTGAACATACAAATCATGTCTCAAGGATGCAATATTATGTTTTGTATTTTTCATTAAAGGTCCTTTTTTAAAACTCTGCCTTTGATTTTTCTTGCAGCATTTCTCATCCTAGGGAGGTGATAAACTGAGATGGATTAAATTTGGGCAAACAGCACCCCTTATATGTAATTTGTCATAAGACTCAAAACCAGATTAAATAATGAGAATTGTATGCATAGGTTCCTTAGCTTTCTAAAAACATGCCACCTAATCTGCCCACATGTTTCTTTAGATCCACTAAGAAAGGGTACCAGGATCTGATAGTAATATACCACTTCCTTTCTTTTCTTAGGTTTGTGTTTCATGCCAAATAGTTTTGCCTTTTAATCATTGTTTAAAATAGTTAAGTAGTGGTAAGTAAAATTTCAGGAAATAAATAGGAAGTTATAGTAAAGATTTAGAAATAACTTATTCTTAGTTGCAGGTAAGTCACATTTAAATGAGTATTACACCTAGTGTTTAAATATAAGAATGAGAATAAATTAATACCTCAGTCCTTAGTTTTATATACAGGTTAATTTACTATTTTCACATTATTTTCCTCATGTAGCTAAAGTCAAATTTTCTGTCCTCAAGTTATAGTATCTTTTCTTACCTTACTAAATATACCATCAAGAAAGTATATATTAAGTAAAACCTTTAGTAGCTAATAATGGAGCAATTAGTAGTAATTTGAGCAGTAAAACAGTCTTCTGTTGATTTCATTTCTTCTTCATTTTCCCTCCTGACTTTGTAACTATTAAGAACCATTGCTTCTAGTTTCCAGACACTCTTGAAGTGAAAGGAGAATAAGAAGTTAAAGGAGGAACACGTTCAACAGACCTATTTAGGGAATTCACATTCTTATGTTTAAATTTAAACTTATACTTTCCCTTCTATTGATAAGCAGGATTACTTCCTTTATCCATTTTGTACCACAAACCTGTGAGATGGAAGAATATGCCAAGTTGTGCTACTTTAATATCACGTCCTCCTTTATAAGGTAGAACTTGGACGTAAAATGACTTTTCACTGTGACATTTACCGTTTCTTCCTATTTTAGGTGTCTAGACATCTCCCTATAAATTTATTCATTCCTGAAAATTTAATCCTAAATTTTTGATAATACTGCCACCAAGTGGTGGTGATGCCCCATTTTGCCAAACAGTCCTTTCGCTTGAGTGAAAAATCCTATTTGATGAACGAGTTTTTCCATTTCATGTCATAAATTTAACAATCAGTACACCTAAAAACACATTGCCAGATGTCCTTTTTTTTTAAAGCGTGTTTGTTTTAAATTATTAGCAGGATACCATCTGATACTCATTCATCCTCTTCATTCATTACTTTTTTAGGCAAAGTACAACTGTCTTCTTCCCTATTACTACTTTGCAAATTCAAAGGTATCTCAATACTACAGAAAATGTCTTTCTTTTAGCAATAATAGTTTATAGGCTACACATAAGTTTTCTCAGACATTTTCAAAAATAGTACTTAAAATTTAAAAAACAAGTTTCACTTTGTTTAATGAAAAATTTTAGTTCTATCAAAACATTAGCTATAATATTAAGTGCGGCTTACACTGCAAATACAGAATAAGTTATTTCTAAATCTTTAATAAACTACAACTCAAATTTGACATGCAAGTCAAGCCCTACCCCATTTTGTTTTCTTTCTCTTAACCACAGCACAAATACAACTTTCTTAATTGGTTACTATTATACTAGTAGATGGTACACGAAACAGAATTTTTAGAATAATGATAGGACTTCTTTAAAATGATTTTAACATTTTATTGCTGTCTATATGTAATGCAAATAATGGCTTCTGGTGATGATAAAGCATTCCAGAATTACAGACCAGGGCTACATACTTGTAAAACCTGCTTTACATAAACCATACAGTATATTTCGGCTTAATACAGAAATTGAGAGCTAGGAGGCAAATCCTAATAGACTGGATTTAAAACATCTCTCTCATTATTAAGTTTGACATTTCCCAGAGGGACTAGCAAAATCTTAACTAATGATTAGTGAAAGAATACAACCACAAATAGTAATAAGAGCCTGAGAAAAATATTTCTTAAAAAAAGAAATCACACACAAACACTATTATGTACATTATAATCAGGTCTAAGCACAATTTTTACATTGTGTTTAGTAATATGCTAAGAATGTGAATTACAAAGTTTAGCAAAATTGGTGAAATGGACTTAATAATTTACAAGGAAAACAAGTTTACATGTTAGTGTTAGACTTTTTTTTTTTTTCCAATTACCTAGTAGAGAAAACAGGTCAAGGGCTCACAAGCAAATGTTAACATGTTTTTTATTTTTCACAGTTATTGTAATCAATTATTAAATAATTTAATTCATAAGTGTTACTTATATGCACAAATTACACTTGTAACAGCATGACTTTTACTTGAAAAATAAAGGATGAACTATTTACTTATTTACATACTGCCCATAATATTGATGGACTTCTTTTTAATGCTTTGTTTTCTAAAAGTTTTTCTGTTTATTTTAAACAAACAAAAGTACAAACAAAAGAACCAAAACAGTGCCACCTAAGAGGGACATCTCCTAGCAGTTCAACTAATAAGACTCAGGATTATTCAGCTTCATCCTAAAGGGTGAAGAGCATATTAAAAAAAAATAAAACCCAATCTAGCTCTGTTTAAATATAAATCGTACTGCCATAAGTGAGTATCCTTAAAAAATGAAAAACAATAAAAAGCACAGAATTTTTAAACTTTTACAACACTGCATAATAAATGTGATGTAAACTTTCTGAACATTTCTTTTCCTTCCTTAACTTCTCAAGGCCTTACCATGAAGAGCCTTAATAATGTCTTATTGTCAAGACAAATGTACTTATATTTTTGGGAAAGCATTTAAAGTAACTGATTCTCCACTGCTTAAATGACTTTTCTTAAGGTAAATGTAGTTTTCTACTTAGATCTCTATCTTATGTAAGCCAACCCTCGTTCTATGTGTAACTTACATTTTACCTATAATCGTTCCCACTAAGGATGTGGTATTATTTTAAAAAGAAACTCTACTTTATACCTGTTGAAAATAGAAGGACCAGTTTAGAGCTGTGACCTAGGAGATACTACATCCAGGTTCAACCCTGGAAATGGGTCTTTCATAAGTGAAGATTAACTACAACTGACTTTCACAGTTTTATTATTGTTCTTCAGTTTAATACTATCTGGCAGTCATACCTAATTAGATAACATTTCATCTGACTCACTGGGTTTTATACAAAAGGGCTTAGAGAAAGTTTCAATAAAACATTATAAAATATTAATTTTCTGTAGCTTAGAGTTCTTAGCATTAAAGGTATTCTGTTATACTGAACAAAGAAGTAAATTAATCCTATTTCTCCAAGATGCAGTCTGGATTCTATTTCATTAAGTCACTGCTGTTTTGCTACAAATACTGCCAAAATCCAGTGAAAGGGCAAGATAAAGAAGCAGCTATGCTTCACTTGCTTCCCACAGAGGTTCCATTAGGCATTCAGAAGTTGGTTATTCCTTTTTCATTGAAAGAATAAATCTTCACCTTACCCTTTCTTTGACTACTTCTTTGCCAATATATGGGTCACACATAATGTGAAAAACTTAAATAAAAACGTATGTTTTTTAAAAATGTATATTCAAGTCCCCATTTAATACAATTTAATTTGCTCAAATATTTAAATTTTACTAATTTTTTAAAAAGCAATACTGTACTGAATTCCCCAACCAAGATTCCTTTAAAATATACATCCTGAATAAACTATCTTTGAGATGTAGAATTTCTTACAACATATTATGTGCAAAATAACTCTTAACCACAAAACTTTAAATAATTTCTGCATTTAAAATCAAGCAACATCCAATACTCCAGCAGCCACAAGTTGCCTTGAGAGCCAATCTAACCCCTCATATAGTCCCATGCCACTTCGAGCATCACAGCCCTGAATATACCAGCTACGGCCACAGCACAATTTATGCAGACTGAGAAGTTCAGTGATTTCTTCCACTGACAGAGCTCCAGCAACATCCTGAAAGACAGATACATATCAGACATTTTTTTATAATCAGCCCATCAAAATTACCATTTATAAAGAATTCTGTTGGTACCATTCTAAAAGAAACCTAAAGTTAAAACCTAGATTCACCCTTCAGTAATTATTCTGTGATTAATAAGTATAGAGAAAAGTAGGGTTGTGATTAAGATCATTTATAATATAGTCTGTAAGAATAACCTTCAGTGAAATCAATATAGGCGATGAAACCTGAACAAAAGATACTGCCTGAGTCATAAGGCATCAACTTAAAAAGGTTAACACGTGTATCACAAAAATGGCTTATACATAGAATTTATATAATGAACAGTTATTAAACTCCCACTCCAAATACCTGAGCACCCCTACTTCCTAGAAGCAACCACCAGGTATTATTTCTTATATACATGTCCAGATAATTTCCATGCACATTCATGCAAATAAACACAAACAGAAACATACTTTAGCTTTTTTTTTTATTTTTTACTTAATACATCTTAAAGATAGTTATCTTTCCATTATCTGGACAAGAAGAACTTCTACATTATTTTTAACATCTGAACTGCATTCCAGGGTGTAGATGCAACATAATTTTCTTAATCAGTCGTATATTTAATATTTAATATTTAGATTGAGATTCTGTTTATGGGCTATTACAAACACATACATATACATATGTAACATTTTTAATTACATTCATTTGCAACATTATCTGCAGGATAACCTTAGGATATTTGTATGCAGAATACATTGCTAGAGGTAGAACTGTGGAGTACAAAGGTATATGCATCTAAAATTTTGATACGTATGGTACTGTCAAATTGCCCTCCAAGAAAATGTCTGTTTAATAATCACACCAATAGTATGTGTGAGTCTGAAGATTATGAAACATTTTTATCTTTAACAATTTAAGTGGAAAATGATATTTCACTTTGCCTTATCTGTGTCTTTTTCAGTAAGTAAAGCAGTGTATTTGCCCTTAGTGGTTTTTTATTAAGAGGGAAATCCTTTATTCTTCATCCTACCCTTCCCTTTAATGACATATTAGCCCCTCTACTGCACTGAAAAGCATTCTCATCCTCCTAGAAGCATAGGCTCAAGATCTAGGAATATGTAGCTTCTCCCTGTCCTTTATCCTCCCCACTTGGACACCAAATTCTAACAAATCTACCTTCATAAACTCTTTTCAATCTCCTTCCACCCTTCTATTCCTTTAATTCGGGATCTTGTTAACTCTCACTTCAATTACTACAGCAATTTACTGTATCTGCCTGTCTCTAGTCCCTTCCCCTGATTAATTCTATATCCTACCCCCAAATTACAGTCTTAAAACACAGATATGAGTCCAAAAACCTTTTGATGGTTTTCCTTTGTCAGAATAAAACCTAAATTTCTCAGTGTAGACCTCATCTGTTATTCTAGATTTTCTTCATCCTCTACTTGCCCCTCACATATAGATCTGCTGATGCTCCCTTAAAACACTCATGCTTTTATTTTCTCTGCCTACAGTGTTCTTTCTTTCACATACTGACTCAAAGTCCTATCCATAATTTCAACTCATATCATAATTTCAACTCAAATCCCACTTTTTACACATCTTTTACAAGATGCCACCTTTAGAACTATTCTAATTTTCCAAGACACGTTGTTACTATTATTGAAGTTACTTACCAGTTTTCTATGTATTACAATCTCATATACAGTCACTTACATGTTTTCAAACATACAAGTTTCTGGTAAGCATCAACCACCTTATTTCTTTCTATATACTTCAAGGTACCAAGTAGAGAACTTTCTATATATACTGTATTTAAAATACACAGCACAAACTTCATAAGTATCTACTGAATTACCAGTTTTGAAATTACCTTATGTTACCTAATGACATAGGATGCACAAAACTACTAAATAAGTATTCTGAAATACAAACGGGTTACCTGTTTGTTAGCAAAAATCAGGAGCAAAGCATCTCGAAGTTCTTTTTCCGTTAACAACTTTGCAAGTTCACTATGTGCTTCACTAACTCTGTCTCTATGACTGCTATCCACAACAAATACAACAGCTACCCAAAAAAAAAAAAAATAGAATTAGTCATTTGTTAACTTTCAGTAAATGGACCAAATATTTTAATGCTCTCATTATTTTATTATGGTTAGTCTACTATCTACTGTTTTTCACAGAAGCGCTGCCTACTGTAAGAGCATCTAGCAATACTTAACAGTATGACTTCAAGTAGTTCACCTAACTTTTCAGCTCTCTTCATTTCCCCATCTATAACAGGACTTACAACACTTGTTCTACCAAACACAAAGTGCTGTGTATATGAATTAATATTTTTCTTAATTAATGAGAATATACCTCTCATGACTTCCATAATGATGCTACTTGTTCCTTTTTTTGTAAGTTTTTAATTACCCGATGCTCATCCTGACAAGTGCACTCCTTAATCCCCATCACCTTTTTCACCTGTATCCCCATATAACTCCCCTATGGTAACCATCAGTTTGTTCTCTATAGTTAAGAGTCTGTTTCTGGATTTCTCTCTTTTTTTCCCCTTTGCTCGTTTGTTTCTTAAATTACACATGAGTGAAGCCATATGGTCTTTGTCTTTCTCTGACTTATTTCACTTAACATTATACTCTCTAGCTCCATCCATGCTATTGCAAATGGCAAGATTTCATTCTTTTTTATAGCTGAGTAATATGCCATTACACACACACACACACACACACACAAACACAAACTTCTTTACCCATTCATCAATCAATGGACACTCCAGCTGTTTCCATAATTTGGCTATTGTAGATAATGCTGCTATAAACATCAGGGTGCATGTATCCCTTTGAATTAATGTTTCTGTATTCTTTCAGTAAATACCTAGTAGTCCAATTGCTGGATCATAGGGTAGTTCTAATCTTAACTTTTTGAGGAAGCTCCATACTGTTTTCCAGAGTGGCTGCACCAGTTGGCATTCCCATCAACACTGGAAAAGGGTTCCTTTTTCTCCACATCCTCACCAAAACCTGTCATTTCTTATGCTGTTGACTTTATTCTGGCTGGTGTGAGATGATATCTCACTGCAGTTTTGATTTGCATTTCCCTGATGGTAAGTGATGATGAGCATCTTTTAATGTGTCTGTTGGCCATCTGGATGTCTTCTTTGAAGAAATGTCTATTCATGTCTTCTGCCCATTTTTTAATTGGATTATTTGGTTTTTGGATCTTAAGTTGTGTAAGTTCTTTATGTATTTTGGATACTAACCCTTTATTGGATATGTCATTTGCAAGTATCTTTTCCCATTCCATAGGTTGCCTTTTAGGTTTGTTGATTGTTTCCTTCACTGTGTAGAAGCTTTTTATTTTATGTAGTCCCAGTAGTTCATTTTTCCTTTTGTTTCACTTGCTCCAAGGGACCTATCTGGAAAAAAGCTGCTAGGCCAATTTCAGAGAAATTATTACCTGTGCTCTTTTCTAGGATTTTTATGGCTGCAGGTCTAGCACTTAGGTCTTCAATTTATTTTGAATTTATTTTCATGTACTGTGTAAGAAAGTGGTCCAGTTTCATTTTTTTGCATGTCGCTGTCCAGTTTTCCCATTTGTTGAAGAGACTGTCTTTCTTCAATTGGATATTCTTTCCTACTTTATCAAAGATTAATTGACCATATAATTGTGGGTTTATTTCTGGGTTTTCCATTCTGTTCTACTGATCTGTATGTCTATTTTTGTGCCAGTACCATACTGTTTTGATTACTACAGCTTTGTAATTTAACTTAGAAGTCCAGAATTGTGATGCTTCCAGCTTTGCTTTTCTTTTTCAAGATTCCTGTGGCTATCCATGGTCTTTTTAGGATTGTTTGTTCTAGCTCTGTTGAAAAATGCTGTTGGTATTTTGATAGGAATTGCATTAAATGTGTAGACTGCTTTGGGTAGTACAGACATTTTAACAATATTTGTTCTTTCATTTTTTTTAAAGTTTCTTTTTTAGGACTTTATTATTCATTTGAGACAGAGAGAGCATAAACAGGGGAGAGGCAGGGGGAGAGACAGAAGCAGACTCCCCACTGAGCTGAGAGCCCGATGTGAGCCTCGATCCCAGGAACTGAAGTTCATGACCTGAGCCGAAGGCAGATGCTCAATCATCTGAACCACCCAGGCGCCCCATATTTGTTCTTTCAATCCATGAGCATGGAATGTTTCCATTTCTTTGTGTCATCTTAAATTTGTTTCATCGGTGTTTTATAGATTTCAAAGTACAGGTCTTTTATCTCTTTGGTTAGGTTTATACCAAGGTATCTTATTATTTTGGGTGCAATTGTAAATGGGATTATTAACTTCTCTTTCAGCTGCTTCACTTTTGGTGTATAGAAATGCAGAATTCTGTAAATTGATTTTGTATCCTATGACTTTACTGACTTCATTTATCTGTTCTAACAGTTTTTGGTGGAGTCTTCAGGCTTTACACACACACACACACACACACACATATAGTTTCATGTCATCTGCAAATAGTGAAAGTTTTACTTCCCCTTGCCAATTTGGATGCCTTTTCTTTTTTTGTCTGATTGCTGTGGCTAGCCCTTCCAGGACTCTGTTGATTTAAAGTGGTGAGAGTGGACATCCTTGTCTTGTTCCTGACCTTAGGGGAAAGGCTCTCAGTTTTTCCCCATTGAGGATGATATTAGCTGTGGGTTTTTCATAGATGGTTTTTATTATGTTGAGGTATGGTCCCTCTATACCTACTTTGTTGAGAATTTTTATCATAAACAGATGTGTACTTTGTTAAATGCTTTTTGTTTTTGCATCTATTGAAATGATCATATAGTTCTTATCCTTCCTCTTATCGATGTGATATATCATGTTGATTGATTGGCAAATACTGAGACACACTTGCAGCCCAGGAATAAATCCTACTTGGTCATGGTGAATGATTTTTTTTATATTGTTGGATTCGGTTTGCTGGTATTTTATTGAAGATTTTTGTATCTTTGTTCAGATTGGCCTGTAGTTCTCTTTTTTGTGTATCTGTCTGGTTTTGATATCAGGGCAATGCCGGCCTCATGGAATGAATTTGGAAATTTTCCTTCCTTTTCTATTTTTTAGAATAGTTGAGAAGAATAGCTATTAACTCTTCTTTAAATGTTTGGTAGAGTTCACCTGTGAAGCCACCTGATCCTGGACTTTTGTTGGTTGGGAGTTTTGGGGTTTTTTTTAAAGATTTTATTTATTTGAGAGAGAGAGCACGAGCAGTGGGGAGGGGCAGAGGGAGAAGGAAAAGTAGACTACCCATTGAGCGGGGAGCTGGTGCAGGGCTAGATCCCAGGACCCCTAGATCATGACCTGAGCCGAAGGGAGACACTTAACTGACTGAGCCACCCAGGCACCCCTGTTTGTTGGGAGTACTTTGATTACTGATTCAATTGCTTTGCTGGTAATCAGACTGTTCAAATTTTCTATTTCTTCTTTCAGCTTTAGTAGTTATGTTTCTAGGAATTTATCCATTTCTTCTAGGTTGTCCAATTTGTTGGCATATAGTTTTTCATAATATTCTGACTGTTTGTATTTCTGTGGTTTTTTGTTGTTACTTCTTTTCTCTCATTGGTGATTTTATTTGGTTCCTTTCTCTTTCTTTCTTTATAAGTCTGGTTTATCAATTTTATTGATTTTGTTTTTCAAAGAACCAGCTCCTGATTTCATTGTTCTGTTTTATTATTTATTTTTTTTAGTTTCTGTATTATTTATTTCTGCTCTAATCTTATTATTTCTTTCCTTCTACTGGTTTTGGGCTGTGTTTGTTTGTTCTCTTCCTAGCTCCTTTAGGTATGAGGCTTATTTGAGATTTTTCTTGCTTCTTGAGGTAGGCCTGTATTGCTATTAAGTTCCCTCTTAGAACAGCTTTTGCTGCGTCCCAAAGGTTTTGAACCACTGTGTTTTCATTTTGTTTCCATGTACTTTTTGATTTCTTCTTTGATTTTTCAAAATGACCCATTCATTGTTTAGTAGCACGTTATTTAACCCCCACGTATTTGTGGTGTTTCCATATTTCTTCCTGTGGAGGACTCTAGTTTCATAGCGCTGTGGTCAGAAAAGATGCATTGAGGGGCTCCTGGATGGCTCAGTTGATTAGGTGTCTGACTCTTGATTTCAGCTCAGGTCATGATCTCAGGGTCATGGGGTCGAGCCCCACATGGGGCTCTGCAGGGAGTCTGCTTGAGATTTTCTGTCTCCCTCTCCTTCTGTCCCTCCCCAACTCACACTAAGTAAATAAATCTCTTAAAAGAAAAAAAAAGTAAAGAAAAGATGCATTGATCTTTTTTAATTTGTTGAGGCTTCTTTTGTGGCCTGTGATGCTACTTGTTCTTTGATTACTACTTCCTTTGCCAAAAAATAATCTAAATAAATCACCATCTTTATCTCTCCAAAGTATTCTCTCTAGGTGCCTAGCACAGCACTTTCCACATATACTGTACTCAAAATACATAGGAGAAACTTCACAAGTATCTACTGAATTAATTCTCTTTTGAAATCTTTCTAGCTACCTTATGGTAGCTAAACATCTCAACTTTTCAACCATTCCTCACGTTCAAAATCCCATTTTTTTCCTATTAATCACTGTATCAAAATCCTAATGTAAAAATAATTATCTAGTTTCTCTGCTAGGTAGAAAGTATGATGATATATGAAACACGTGGCATGAACATAAATTTCATGTTGGATATAGGCAAAAGCATAGAATGGGGCCTAAATATAAATAATAAATAAATGCTAGGTGGAATGTGTGATAAAACACAGTTTGGCCAAAGCAAACCACTGCAGGTACTTTTGGAGCTACTGAGAGATTATGAGATAAATATTTTACTCAATTGAAGAGAGCAGCAGAAACATACACCAAGAATTCTACCCTTCATCACAATATTGCCAGTGATCACACTCATATGAATAGTAATAATGTACTTTAACTGTTAAGAGCAGCAAGCGGTATGTACTCTTAACTGCCTAGATATAAAAGGTAAGTATGGTTTTAAGCTATAATTATGATTTCTTCATGAAATAAACCAAAGTACATATCCCGGTCTTCCCACCTTAACGTTTTTAATAAAATAAGAAGCTTCACTAGTTAAATCAATTCCACAGAAAACTGGCATCCTAAAATTCTGAAAAATTAAGATATCATTTTTCACTCTTACCTTGGGTATTGAGGTAATAATGTTTCCACAATGGTCTTAATTTGTGTTTTCCACCTACATCCCAAATAGTGAACTTTAGATTTTTATATTCTACAGTTTCCACATTAAAACCTGTTTTTTCAAAAAAAAATTACTTTAATACTGAACTTATATTTATAATGAGTAACACACCAAACACAGGCAACCCACTGTTTAGAATTGTGAAAATATAAATTAATTATCTTCACACAGCAGTATCTACTGCTGCCCAACCAACTCCACTCCTAATAAACCTATATGGGGAATATATACTTTTAACAGCTATTAGCCCTCAAAACCTCCACCAGGATCCCAGTATCCTGAAACTCAAATACCTAACAGCTCTGCACCACTACCACTCTCTCCCCCTAACCTTCACCAATCCTTTAATCCTTCAACTGTCCCACCAACACTTGTTCCTTCTTAATATCCCACCATCCACATTTCAATCCCACAGCCCTGAACCTTGCATTTTTTCTCAGACATATCAGTGTCTTAGAGCCAGTAAAGAGCCCACCACAATGCCATACTGGCATAAAATAAGACCCCCAAGAACTCAGCTGTAAGCTAGGGTTTGTCTATAAAACATCCATTAAAGTAAAAAGCAGTACTTATACTTACCAATTGTTGGAATAGGCTGCATGAATTCATCCTGTTTTAACTTAAACAAAATAGTAGTTTTTCCAGCACCATCTAATCCTAATGTAACAACTCGAATTTCCATTTTTGGTCCAATGTGAACTCTATTGTCCTGTAATTTTTAAAAATTTATATCTTATTTTGATATGGAGTTAAAATATATTAGCATTTATAATTTTATTTATAATACCTTTGTTAATTATTTCATCTACTCATTCCTCTGATTCCATGGACAAATACCAACCCATATTATTATAATTTTGTTGCATAAATCTATTCCTTAGATTTACAAACAAACGTTAAGTAACCTATAAGCCTGTGGTAACAGGTATAAATGTACAAAGATGTAATTTGTGACATTAATAACATAAAGTATGGGGGTGGAGCTATAAAAAAACAGAGGGTTTATATGCAAAAGAAGTTAAATTGTTATCACTTCCCAATAGAATGTTTTAACAAGATGTTCTTTGTAATAGCAATGGTAAACACACAAAAATCCATAGAATATACACAAAAGGAAATGAGTAGGGAATCAAACCATGACACTATAAAAAATCACTGAGACACAGAAGAAGGCAGTAAGACAAAAGGAAAGACAAAAAAGCTGTAAGATATACAAAGAACAATAAACAGAATGGTAATAACAAGTCCTTACCTATTAATAATTACTTGAAATATAAATGGGTTTAATTCCCCAATGAAAAGACACAGTTTGACTAAATGGATAAAAAAAAACAAGATCTAACAATATGCTGTCTATAAGAGACTCACTTCATATTTAAGGATACAAGAAGGCTGAAAGTGAAGGAAAAGAAAAAGATATTCCATGTAAAACATACTCAAAAAAGAGCAGGGGTGGTTATCCTAGAATGACATAAAATAAACTTTAAATCAGAAACTGTTGTAAGAGACCAAAGTTCATTATATATTGATAAAAGGGTAGATTTACAAATAACATATAACAATTACAAATATTTGGATTTTTTTTTTAAGATTTTATTTATTTATTTGACAGAGAGAGAGACAACAAGAGAGTGAACACAAGAGTGGGAGAGGGAGAAGCAGGCTTCCCACTGAGCAGGGGCTCGATCCCAGGACCCTGGATCATGACCTGAGCCAAAGGCAAACGCTTAACGACTCAGCCACCCAGGCGCCTCTGGATTTTAAATATATGGATAAAAGTTCCAAAATGAGACCCAAAACTATAAAACTCTTAGAAGAAAACATAGTGCAAAATCTTCATGACAATGGATTTGGCAGTGATTTTTTTTTTTATATCACTCCAAAAACACAGCTGACAAAAGCAAAAGTAGACAAATGGGACCATATCAATCTTAATCTTTTGTGAATCAAAGGACACTATCAACAAAGTGAAGAAGCAACCTACAAAATGGGACAAAGTATTTGCAAATTATATATCTAAGAATGGATTCCCTTCCAGAATATATAAAGAACTCCTACAGCTCAATGAAATAAAAAATCAAATAACTCAGTTAAAAAACAGGCAAAGGACTTGTACAAAATTTCTCCAAAGAAGATACAAACTGGCCAATAAACATATGAAATGAGGCTCAACTTCATTAATCTTCAGAGAAATGCAAACCAAAACCACAATGACACCTATCAGGACGGCTACTATCTAAAACAAACAAACAAAAATTAACATGTGTTGATGAAAATGTGGATAAACTGAAACCCTTGTGCACTGTTGGTGGGAATTACAATATGGTACAACCACTATGAAAAACAACATAACATTTCCTCAAAAAAATAAAAATAGAACTACCATATCCAGTAATCTCACTTCTGGATATATATCCAAAAGAAATGAAAACAAGGTCTCAGAGAGATATGTGTACATCCATGTTCACAGCTACACTATTCATAATAGCCAAGATGTGGAAGTAACCCAAATGTCCATCAATGGATGAATGTATAAACAAAATGTGGTATATACAAACAAGGCAATATTATTTAGCCTTAAAACAGAAAAAAATTTGGCACATGCCACAACATGGGTGAACTCTGAGGATATACTAATTGAGATCAGCCAGTCATAAAAACACAAATACTGCTATATGGGCTCCACTTATACGAGGTATTTAGAATACTCAAATTCAAAGAAACAGAAAGTAGAATGGTAGTTACCAGGAGGTGATGAGAGAGGGGGAAAGGGGACTTATTGTTTATATGGTATGGAAGTTCAGTGTGAACTTGAAGTGTGTAATGTTTTCTACCTTTAAATGTGATGAGTGTACATACAAATATATAAATAAATGTATTTCTCTATATTTTTTTAAATGATGAATAAAACTAAGAAAAAATTCTTGATGGTTTTCTATGGAGAAAGGAGGAAAAGTGTGGAGGGGTTAGGGATAGAAGCTGGACTTCTCTAAATGAACCCTGCTTTGTAGATTTGACTCTGGACCATGTGAATGTTTCACAGAATTATAAAATAAGATTAAGTTCTAAAAAAAAAACAGACCCTAAAAAGGGAAAAAAAAATGAAAACAAATGAACCTTTTAAATTAGGGGCAATTCACGTTAAAAGAGACCAAAATATATCAACTAAGTACAGGCCTCATTTGGTTGGGTTTTGTTTCCAGAAACAAAAAAATTTCTTAGCCATCTGGGAAATATGAGTAACTAACTGGATAATGGTTAATATTAGAGATTCATTATTAAATTTTTTAGGGTATGTTTTTAAAACAGTCCTTACCTTTTACAGATACACACAACAATATTTCATAGATGAAATGATATGCTGGGATTTGTTCCAAAATAACCTGAGAGACTGCAGGTAGAAAGGGGAATGGGGAAAGGATCGATGAAATAAAGTTTTAAATTGTTAAAGTGGGTGACAGGTACATGGAGATTCATTACACCACTTTCTATTTTCCACTGATAAAAGTTTTTTTCAAAAAAAACCTATGAATTTCTTAGTTGTCTCTTCAAGCTGATTATCACGGAATGTAAAACAATTATGATTTATAAGAAGCCATACCTAAAAATGAAGTACTATACATTACCTTTGTAAAAGTGACAGGGATACTGGCATCCAACTGAATGTGATCTGCAACCTCTGTAAACTGCTGTTGCTGTTTTTGCAATGTTTCCAGTAACCTTGTAATTTCCTGTTTTGCCAAAACAACTCTACAATCATCCTAGAAAAGAGAATATAGTTTTCCGGTAAACTTGCTATTTGCTCTCTCTCTCTCGCTCGCTCTCTCTCTCAAATAAATAAATAAAGCTTTTTTTAAAAAGAGCCTTTCAATAGTAGAACGGATAAATTGTGGTATATTCAGAAAGGCAACACTATACCACAATGAGAACGAGCCACAGTTAAACCTGATGATATGAATTTCACAAACATGTCGACTAAAAGAAGAAATGACAAGAAGACTTCATACTGTATGATTCCATTTTTATTAATTACCAAAAGAGACAAAAATTAGATATGCGTTAGAAGTCAGGGTAGTGGTTTATCCTCAGAGGGGAAGGCAGGTGGTTATTAGAAGGGAGTCTGAGGGGTTTCTAGGGGTGTTGGTAATGTTCTGTTACTTCATCTGGGTGCTAGTTACACAGGTATGCCCAGTCTGAAAATTGAGCCAGCTGAACACTTTATGCACACTGTATGTCCTTTGTACTTTTTTTAAAAAAATCTAATATATATGTGTAATGGTTTTTAAAAAATTGACCTAAGGTCAAATTGAAAAGCCTCCCTTGCCCTCTAGATCTCCAGACTCTCTTCAAAGTCAAGCACCTTCTAGTTTCTCAAATACTAATCCAGAGATATTCTACACACATACCAATATATTCTTCCTAAGACAGAGGTCTCCTAACAATACGTAAGTCCCATGAGAGCAGCAGTGTTTACAGTTTTTGCTCACTGTTGCATATTTACATTAGTTGGTTATGAACTAATAAACTTTGCTTATTATTTGTATGTTGTTCCAGGTGCTCAGAACAAAACCCCTGCAATTCTTGCCTTCTACTCTCTCATGCCCCACATACAAACAAATCCTACTGGCTATCCAGAATCTGGACACTTCTCACTCCCACTAGCCAAGCCACTATTCTCTCTCATGGGGAATTCTACAACAGCCTCCAAACTCCTTCTTTCCTTTAACTCCTTCCCTCCATCTTGGCCCTCCTTCAATCTATTTTTTACACATCAAAGTCATCTTTTTAAGTAAGATCAAGTCATTCTTGTCAAAATTTCACAATGGCTTCTCCATTTCAATCAGTAAAACCTGAAGTCCTTCCAGTGATCCACAAAGCCTTCCTTACAGATAATTCCCTATTACTTCCAGATTTCAGCTTCTATTACCATTTCCTTTACTTACTGTGTTTCACCCACAGTGGCTTCTTTTGCTGTTCTTCAAATACACCAGGCAGACTGCCCTAGGGTTTTTGCTCTAATCGTTTCCTCAGCTGGAGTATTCTTCCCCACATTACAGCTTGAACAAATTCCTTCACCTTCTTCCTTTTTGAGGCTTTGCTCAAATCTCACCTTCTCTTTAATGATGCTTACCCTGACCATTTAATAATGCAGTCTGCTGGACCCTCATTTTTTTTGTCCTTAGTTCTTACCACTTTTTAACATGCTATATAATTTACTTATTTAGATATGGTTATGGTTTATTGTCTATCTTCTCCTTGCTAGAATGCTAATTCCACAAAATTATAGCTTTTTGTATGTTTTGTTTACCAAGATAGTCCATGTATCTAGAATGTACCTGGCACATGATAGGCACTCAAAACATATTTGCTAAATTAATAGACAAATCCTCACCACTTAGTATCATGCCTTGGACTTAGATGATGCATCATTTTTTTGGAGGGGAAGGATGATTAAGCTTTGTTCTCAAAATTGGTAATCAATGTGTGATGTTCTATCCATTCCTCTGTTTAATTATCTCTGTGGCAGGAACTTTTAAGAGGACACCTGGGTGGCTCAATCAGTTGAACATCTGTCTTCAGCTCGGCCAGGATCAAGCCCCATGTCAGGCTCCCTGCTCGGTGGGGAGTCTGCTTCTCCCTCTCTCCCTGCTCCTTCTTTCATTCTCTCTCTCCCAAATAAATAAATAAAATCTTTAAAAAAAAAAAAAAGTACATTGGTTGGGGTTACGGTTCTATGGCCATAAATCAAAGCAAAAGTTTGGGCACCTGCCTGGCTCAGCTGGAAGAAGCTCTTGATCTCAGGGTTGTGAGTTCGAGACCCATGATGGGTATAAAGATTACTTAAATAAAACTTAAGTTGATATGAATAATGACTGTAATACCCTAATTTCATTTGCATTAACACAGTGAGATATCATACCATTAACAATTAGCAATCACTCTGATGAAATGCTTCAGAAACTCTAAAATACCTCTAAATATTTCAGTAACTATGAGCATACTTTTTAACATAATAAATATAAAAATACTTTGAAGTATTCAAGCAAATGAGATCTAGACATAATCCATTTCTGATTTTGCTGTGTAGCTTGATTACCCATCATGAGCCGAACAAGTATTTATTAAGCTCTTTCTATCCAGATACAAAGATAAACAAAATGCATCCGGTCAAACATCTAGAAGGATAAACAATGCCTATTATATCATTCAGGTTCAAATCAGGAGAGAATAACCATACCAGTTATGTGAGCAGAAAGAATTTAATATGAAGAACTGTTAACTGGGTGTAGTTACTAACTAGGTAACTGAAAGGGTAAAAAGAACTCTGAGGCATCATGGGGAAAGCAACTGTAAGAAACAGCTATCACTCCCAGGGCTGGGGGAATAAAAGGCACATGCTAGAATAATTAAAACTTAGAAACTTACAGGAAGGCCCCCATGGAGCCTAAACTCACGTCTCTAAGGAAAGTGGTCTCCTCATGTGAGCAGTAAAATGCACAGGAACCCCAAGCAAATGGGAACCCCAAGGAAACCACCCTTACCTTCCAGCCTTCTTCTCATGTCTCCTATTAGTGCAGCCTAAACTAACAAGAAGCCAGCTGGTAAAACACATTATGTGGTTAGTGGAGTTCCAGTCCCAAAAATCACAGAGCAGAGGAAAGAAGACTAGGACTGAAGCTCAAAGACAACTTAATAAATGGAATGTGATAAGGGCTAAACAACAGTTCAAGGCTGTTGTGTTTATAGCCTGGCCACACTCATATAAGTCTAATCAGGTATTTAAGAGAAAAAGCTCTACTGATTTTGTAGTAAGTTTAGCTCTACAATGATTTGCAATCAACACAATTACTAGTAATATGTCAATCAAGATGAGATACACTACAGCTTACTGGGAATTCCTAGGGCAATACCCTTACATCACCCGCTCATGAGAGCAGATCCAAACAGAAATGAGTAAGACTGACATTTTTGGCAAAATAACCTTAAATCTAATTTATTTTAAAAGTATATCATTTGAAAAACTGGGTAAACAAATTGCTTATGATACCTCAACCATCAAAAAACATAGGATGGGGCGCCTGGGTGGCTCGGTCTGTTAAGCATCTGCCTTCAGCTCAAGTCAAGATCTCAGGGTCCTGGGATCAGGACCCTGGGCTCCCGGGATCAGGACCCTGGGCTCCCGGCTCAGCGGGGAGCCTGCTTCTCCCTCTCTCTCTCCCTCTGCCCCTCCACCCCGCTCATGCTCGCTCTCACTCACACACTCTCTCTCAAATAAATAAAATCTTAAAAAAAAAACAACAAAACATAGGATTACTGTGACATCAAAGTCAAGAACCAATGAATTAGAGCAGAGATAGGTAGTACACGCTAGAGAGGCACCCAAGAAAAAACAGCAAGGAAGAGACAGTTTTAAAGAATAGCAAACATTTGAGCTAGACTTTGAAGAAGGATTTCCACTATCAGAAAAGGGAGATATAAGCCCCCCAAGCAGAGAGAACAGTGCATGCTTAGCAAAGGAGAGTTAAAGGGCTTGGCATGAGTGAAGAATGACAAGACGTTAAAAAGCTTCTAGAACCTGTGGTTTTATGGTGTGGAGGGCACATGAAGGAGAGGACACTGATACTATTGGTGGAGCAATTCAAGGTTAGAGACCATGTCCTAAGCACAATGTTAATGCATGCAGTAACATATAGTAATAATAAAATATTTATCAATAAAACAGACTAGTGGTAATTATCTGCTTAACCTTATAAACCCTCCTTCTTAAAGTATGTACTAACCATGTTTAATCTACCTACCTGTTGCAACGTCTTTTCACAATGGAGACATGCTGTTGAAACCTGGGACAATAAAATAGTCATATCTTCTTGTTGCTGCCTGAGCCAAATCAGTTTTTCTCGAACATGAGCATCAACAACACTTAGAGCCATTTCTTCTTGACGACACAAAGTTTCATGTAGATCAGAAAAATAAGCTCGGACACATGACCGGGCATTCTCTGCAGTACCTGGCACCTAAGGAAATTAAAATTAGTTTAAAACAACCTTAAACATAACAAAGATTTTATATGTGAATTAATGAAATTTTAAATACTGTCTATATCCTTAAAAATTCCAAAATTGCTATCTCAACCCTTGATCTTTCTCCTTAACCACAGCCTTTGGATATCCAACTGTAAGTGACATCTGAAGCAAAATGGAATACTTACTCTCCTGTCTCTCTCACGGCCAAACCTAGTTTCCTCCATCTCAGTAACTGGCAATGCCATCTTCCATGTTGTTCAAGCTAAAAAAAACTGGAGTCGCCCTTAATACTTCTCTTTCATATTCCATAACTAGTCCCTCAGAAAATTCTGACTTCAAAGTATACCCAAAATCTGATAAAGCTTCATCTCCTCCACCTCTACCAACCTGATCTATGACATTATCATCTCTCACCTGATGATAACAGTCTTCTAATTGGTCTCACTAGATCTACTCCTGCCCTCTACAGTGTATTCTCCACCCAGCAGCCAGACCGATCCTTTAAAATGTTAAGTCAAAATCAATTATTCTTCTGCCCAAAATTCTCCAATGGTTTCCCATTCCACTCAGAGTAAATGCCAAAATCCTTTTATGTGGGGTGTTCAAGGACAGAAGCCCTGAGAAAGCAACGTCTGAAGATCTGAAGAAGGTAAGTGAGGAAACCACATCAGTATCTTGAAGAAGAGCATTCCTGACAGAAAGAAAAGCAAGTACCCAATAAGACCCTTTCTGATCTCAACTCCTGCTACACTCTCTCTGTCATCCTACTCTAGCTGCATTTAGTCTCCCCACAGTTGTTTCATTTGTTTTTATTGAAGTATAGTTGACATACAATGTTATATTAGTTCCAGGTGTACAACATAGTGATCTGACAATTCTACACATTACTCAGTGCTCACCACAGTAAGTATAGTCACCATCTGTCACCATACAACCTTGTTACAGTATCACTGACTATATTCCTTCCTATGCTGTACTTTTCATTTCTGTGACTTATTTATAACGGGAAGTCTGTACCTCTTAATCCCTAAAAATATGGAACACTTTGTAAATTTGCAAATCATCCTTACACAGGCGCCATGCTAATAACTTTTACTGTATCATTCCAATTTTAGTATATGTGCTACTGAAGTGAGCACTCCACAGTTTCTTAAGTGCATCAGGCACCTCAGGGCTTTGCACTTGCTCTTCTCTCTGCCTGGAATGCTCTTCCCCCAAATATTAGCATGGGTCTCATTCTCATCTGCTTTACCTCTTTGCTCAATGTTCCTTTTTCAGGAAGTCTGTCCACGAACACCCCATATAAAAGCACACTCTCCCTTTCTCTTGTTTTTTTCCAAAGCATCTAATATACTTTTGCCATAAGTACTGACCCTTTCCCCATATTAGAATATAAACTGCAAAGGCAGAACTTTTTGACTTTTACAGCAGTATCTCCTTAGCTAGAACAATGCTAAAAGAGCGTCTAGCTCTTGTATGTGTTCAGTAAATATTCACTGAATAAAATATTTCCACTCTAGCACAAAATGTCCAATAGAGCCTTCTGTGATAATGGATACATTCTGTATCTGTGTGGTCTAATATGGTAGCCACTAGCTATACGTACTTGATATACTTGAAATGCAGCTAGTGAAACTGAAAAACCAAATTTTGTATTTTATTTGATTTTTAAATAATTTAAACTTAAATAGCCATATGTGGGTAATGGCTACTATATTTGACAAGGCAGTACTAGTATTATTCCCCAATGACTTAGCTTTAAATTTGATTACCAAAGCAAAACATTGCATTATTGTATGTCCCTGTATATTACATCTGAAAATACTCCTTTCTCCTCCACAATTCAATTTTTTTTAATTTTTTTTTTAAATTTTATTTATTTATTTGAGAGAGAGAGAGATAGCGAGAGAGAGCACAAGCGGGGAGGAGAGGGAGAAGCAGGCCTCCAGCCGAGCAGGGAGCCCAATATGGGGCTTGATCCCAGGACCCCGGGATCATGACCCGAGGCGAAAGCAGACACCTAACTGACTGAGCCACCCAGGCGTCCCCACAATTCAATTTTAAAAAGCAAGCCCATAACTACCCCCTTAGTTCCTTCCTTCTCTTTACAGCTAAACTTCTTAAAAGTTAAACACACTCACTTCCCAACACCCACTTACTCTTCAATTCACTGGAGGATATCTTCCTTATTATTTCACATACCACATTCAGTATCTTAATTAAACTTATTACCTTGGTCCCATTATCCCTCCCAAAATTCTTCCTCCTCCCCCATTAATGCATGATATCACCATCCATTCACTTGGGCAAGAAAGAAATCCAGGCATCATGCCTGACCCTTCAAGTTATTTATGTAATCAATACTATCAATCACTAAGACCTATCTATTCTACTACTCTAAAATCTCAAGCCCATCTACCTCTCTCCATTCTCACTACTGTAGTATTATAGGCCATAAACATCTCTCAACCAGATAATTTCAGCAACCTCCTATTAATAGGTTTTCCTGCTTCCAATTCATTTTCTACATTGAAAAGCTACCTTTCTTAATGCAAATCTGATTATTTTATTCCTACACTAATTTTTCAATTGCTCATCACTGCCCTTGGGATAAAGTCTAAACTCTTTAACACAGCTAACAAGATCCTGCATGATTTGGCCCTTAACTGTCCAACATTTTTTTCTTGTCATGCTCCATCCAATACTCAAAGATCCAACTGTAGTGAATTGAGTTGTTTCAATAATGTGTCCAATTCTCACTACCAGGCATTTAACCTGTGCTTCCCTCAGTGGGACAATTCACTCTCGAGCCCACTCTTCTCCCTGACTAAATTTCTTCAAATCTCAATTTAATATCTTGTATTCTGGGAAGCTTTCCCTGACTCAGCTAAATTAATGCCCCTCTTATGCAATGCTAAGGCATCCTATACTTCCCCACAAAATAAAGTTACCACACTTAAAACTGGCTTTCTTCTACAATGGATTATAAATTCCATGAAGACAAAGCCTTTTTTAAAAACTTATTTTCAGTCACTAGTGCAGTACTAGCACAGTGTAATTGCTCAATAAATATAAAAAGATGAAAAGGTTAGAAGTAAAAAGGGTAAGAATGTAAAGAGAGAAGAAAAAAATTCCATACATGTTCTGTGTGGGCCATTCCAATTCCATCTTCCACTATTTGTTCTCCTCCTTCAATGTGCTGAACGATTCCAACTAATTTTCTGGAATAATCTGAAATTTCCTCAGTGAAGGTCCGTATGCAGTGAGCCATATCTAAAATTGATGCTCGGATCTGGTTAGCTTCTGGTTCCAATACTGAATGCTAAAGTGCAACAAAATTACAGAAAAGAACTCACAGTATTGACTAATGATATAAAATGCTATTTAAATCACTCCAATGATAAAAAAAAGGCATCAGCCACAAGTAGCTTTTATAACACATTTACAAAAAGCACAAGAAAATAAATACTAATTTACTTTCACCCCAAAACTATTTATCCTCCAAAGAAATAATTTAGAATTTGGGAGTCCATTTATTGCTTAATAACAGTCCAAGATGGGGTGCCCGGGTGGCTCAGTTGGTTAAGCATTCAACTCTTGATTTCAGCTCAAGTTGTGATCTCAGGGTTGTGAGATCCAGCACCCCCAAGAGGATCCACACTGGGCATGGAGCCTGCTTAAGATTCTCTCTCTCCCTTGGGGCACCTGGGTGGCAGAGTCCGTTAAACCTCTGACTTTTGGTTTCAGCTCAGGTTGTGATTTCAGGGTCGTAGGATCAAGCCCTGCGTCAAGCCCCACGTGAAGCCCTGCAACTGGCTCCATGCTCAGCACAGAGTCTCCTAAAGTTTCTCTCTCCCTCTTCCTCTGCCCCTCCCCCAACACGTTCTCTTGCTTTCTCTAAAATAAATAAATAAATCCTAAAAAAAGTATTCTCTCTCTCCCTCTCCCCCCGTCACCCTCCTTCTCTCCCTCTCTCCCTCCCTCTAAAAAAAAAAATCCAAGAGACTCACTAATTTCACCATAAACAGCAGTTCATCAATAGACATAAATATTGTCAACACAACCCAGTGCATTATGAAAACATGCGCACAAAGAAATTTTGCTTCCTACTGGAAAGCTATTTTTCAGTGAAGAAAGAATGATAAAGCCTCTCTGAAATTTTTGTTAGGATATTCAAAAATTAAATCTCTCATTTATTTTCATGCCAAGCTCAACTCATTCATTACTGAACTCTTCTTCAATTCCTACTTGTCATAAAGAACCAAATCAATGGAAACAAATGGTAGGTTGGTAAACTAGGTAGAGTCATCCAGTCTAATTATATTCATACCTTGTGACCTTGATGTTTTCCATATTCTTTGCAGACACAGCACATAAGTGGGCTAGTTTGACAGCCTTCTTCCAGGCAAACAAACTCAATGGCATGTACCTGATGCTGAGAGCACATGGTTTTCTCATGAGGTTTATCAGCTAGAGGCACCCGTCTGTGTTTTGCTAATGTCTTTGTAGAATGAGTAACTTGAGAACACTCTGAGCACAAATGAGTTGCACATACAGTGCAATATACAGATGCAACGTGAGCTTCATCTTCATCACAACGAATGATGCTCTGATAAACAAGAAATTAATGTCTTCAAACTGAACCTCAATCATTATACATGACAAATTTTAAAATATAAAAGCCCATAATCTTTTTTTAACTGACCAAGCTTTACATATGAAAATATGCTGGTAATTAAGTAAAAAGGTCATTTATGACTCATCTAAGAAAGTATTCATTTCTATAGGTAAGTGAGAAGCTATTTCCAAAATTGATTATTAATATGTGCTATGAATTTGAGGCCAAAAATAAAACTGTTCTCATAGGTTCACAGTCAGTGTAAAGATAACTTCCATGAAAGCCCCTCATTTAAAAAAAAAAAAAGAAAGAAAGCCCCTCATTTTATATAAAAGAAACTGAACAATACAGGCTAGAAATCTTTTTTTTAAGACTAAAAAAACTGATAATAAATACATCCCCACTGCTTAATTTTTTTTTAAGATTTTATTTTTCAGTAATGTCTACACCCAATGTGGAGCTTGAACTAACAACCCTGAGGTCAAGAGTCCCATGCTCTACTGACTGAGACAGCCAGGTGCCCTGCGCCCCCCCTTCCCCCCCAACGCTGCTTTAAATACTATTTATCATGGTGATGTATAGAAAAAAGAGAAATGCAAATGCTATTTTGAGAAGCAGGTGTATGCACAAGAATCAGCTGCAAAGTTTTTAAAAACAGAGATGCCCAGACTCTAACCTAGGAAATACTCATTCCAATAGATTGTAGAAGCTTGAGCTGTGTATCTTTTTCTAAAACTCCACAGGTGAGTTCACTGCACAATCCTGGGTGAAAAAGCACTGATTTAAGCAAATAAAAAATAAACAAATAAAACCTATGTTATATATAAGCTTTTAAATATTATTTCTAATTTTCATGAGTTACTGAAAAGCACCCAGGTTGAAAACTTTTATATGTCAGATAATCAAGAATGTTTTGAAACTTATGCTGAATATTAAAAGGCCATAAATGGAAAGGGAGCGATCTGGTATAAATTGTTCCAGAAATAAAAATTAGAAAACACATCAATGGTGTTATTAAATACCACATTAAACTAAAAAAAGAACCCAAAGGTAAACATTTTTTATTTGCAATTATGAGAAACAGGTACATGTAAAATTAAAAATTCATATCATTTTCCAGACATGACAAATAATTTACAAGGTCAACATTAGACAATATTCTAATGTCTTTTGAAAGATAAAAGATATAGCACATGAAAGAACTACAAAAATTTTAGAAAACAGTGCTCCCCGCAACTGTATGGTCAACCAATCTTCAACAAAGCAGGAAAGAATATCCAATGGAAAAAACACAGCCTCTTCAACAAATGGTGTTGGGAAAACTGGATGGCAACATGCAGAAGAATGAAACTGGACCACTTTCTTACACCACATACAAAAATAAATTCAAAATGCATCAAAGACCTAAATGTGAGACAGGAAACCATCAAAATCCTAGAAAAGAACACAGGCAGCAACCTCTGGAACCTCAGCCACAGCAACTTGTTGCTAGACACATCTCCAGAGGCAAGAGAAACAAAAGAAAAACTGATAAAAAGCTTCTGCACAGCAAAGGAAACAATCAACAAAATTAAAAGGCAACCGACAGAATGGGAGAAGATATGTGCAAATGACATATCAGATAAAGGGCTAGTATCCAAAATCTATAAAGAACTTATCCAACTCAACCACCCAAAAATAAAAAAAATCCAGTTAAGAACTGGCAGAAGACACGAACTGACATTTCTCAAAAGAAGACATATAAATGGCAAACAGACACATGAAGGAATACTCAACATCACTCATCATCAGGGAACTACAAATCAAAACCATAATGAGATACCACCTCACACCAGTCAGAATAGCCAAAAGTAACAAATCAGGAAACAACAGATGTTAGTGAGATGCAGAGGAAGGGGAACCCTTTGCATTGTTGGTGGGAATACAAAGTAGGGCAGCCACTCTGTAAAACAGTATGGAGGTTCCTCAAAAAGTTAAAAATAGAAGTACCCTACACCCAGCAATTACACTACTAGGTATCTTAAGCATACAAAAATAGTAATTTGAAGAGGCCCATGCACCCCTATGTTTATAGCAGCACTATCCACAATAGCCAAAATATGGAAAAAGCCCAAATGTCCATCGACAGATGAATGGATAAAGATGTGGTATGTATATACAATGGAATATTACTCAGCCATAAAAAAGAATGAAATTTGCAATGACATGGATGGAACTAGAGGGTATTATGCTAAGCAAAATAAATCAGTCAGAGAAAGACAAATACCATATGATTTCACTCATGTGGAATCTAGGAAACAGAAAAGATGAACATGGGGGAAGGGAAAAAATACAGTAAGATAAAAACAGAGAGGGAAGCAAACTATAAGAGATGCTTAACTATAGGGAACAACCTGAGGGTTGCTGGAGGGGGGGTTGGGGAGGATGGGTTAATGGGTGATGGGCATTAAGGAGGGCACGTGATGTAATCAGCACTGGGTGTTATATGCAAGTGATGAATCACTAAATTTACCCCTGAAACTAATACTACACTACATGTTAACTAACTTGAATTTAAATAAAATCTTGAAGGAAAAAAAATAAAAAGAAAACAGTGCTCCAGTTTGAAATTCACTTCAGTGATTCACCTTACATAAAGAAATCATGATTTAATAAGAGAGAAGTAGAAATCAATCTGATATTTTTTTCCTTGATACTAAACCTGTTATTTTAAAGTTGATCGCCAAAATCATTACTGTTATTTACTACAACTAGTCTTATATCTAGTACAGTAATATGAGCTACGTGGACAATTCTTCAAGCATTAAAAATGTATTTTAAGGGGTGCCTGGCTGGCTCAGTCCATTGAGCATGCAACTCTTGATCTCAGGGTCATGAGTTCAAGCCCCACATTAGGCGTGGAGCTTACTTAATTGAAAAAATAAAAAATAAAAAAATAAAAATGTATTTTAACCTGTGTTAATGAGCTTCGTTCTAATATTTACTGGACGATCAGCCTGTTGGATAAAGACAGTATACTTACATACAATTTAAACTTTTCATGAAGATATTTAATAGTAGTGATTCCCTCAGGAGCTACTGCTATTTTTAAAGCATTTGGCCTCTATACTACCTGGCCTCTTTCAAAGAGTTCTCTTTCTTTGTGCTGTACTATTTATTGTTGATTCACTTTTGCACTCTCTGGTTTAATATGTAGCTTATACCTTCTTCTTACCCTTCCTTCTTCCTCTTTGACTTTATCCTTGGGTAGAAGTGAATTACAATAAGGAAGTAAGTTTATACATAAAACATACTTTGGGTATAGTATTTTCAGAGAATTCAAGTTTAAGTTTTACTGCTGTTCAGCTAGGAATATTGTTGCCTACAAAACTGTAATGTAATGAAAAGTTGTGTTTCTGGAATCCTATCTGCTGGAGCAAGTGAGGTAAGATTGTGCTTTTAATGGCAAATACTTTAAATTAAAAGAAAAAATTCACGCTCATAATAAATATTTCACCAAGTTCATCAATACCTCTCCAGATATCCCAATGGCTTCTTCTGCAGCTCCATACTGACCAATATGTCCATTCTGCAGTCGTTCCAAAAGCTCCAATAAAGCAAAATTTTTTTTCAATCCCCAAACACCTGAGTCTCCTAGGATATAAAAATAAAAACCAAATCTAACAAAATGGAATATTAATCATTTTATCTCATACCTCAATAGTAATTTGTCATATATTTTAATCATTAATAATGTCTAAATCTTCAAATTCAAATTTTCCCCATTATTTTTCTCTGCTAGAACTATTGTCTTGTTAAAATTCTCTTTAAAAAACAAAAACTCCTCAGCATTGTAAGTAGAAACATACTTAAAGTTCTACTATTTTTCTATCATTTAACTTTATAAATCCTAGTTTGTCAATGACTTTTAATATATATTAAAACAAGTGCTTTACAATATTTTTTACAGCAACCTACAGTAAGAAATACATTTTCCATTACAACACAGGATAACGTACATTTATACATAAATAAATCTTTTTAAAATATGTGTATATTTACAGCTGAAAGAAAAGTTTCACGCACCAGTATTCACTCTAACAGTGTGCAATACACCCACATTTTTTGTTCCATTTCTTCTTTAAAATACCTACTCAGAGCCAATTAAACTGATTTCATAACTACAAATAAGCTCTGATTCATGTTTGAAAACCACTGTATGAAACATACACTTAATCTAAAGTAACTCCTCTCAGTAAAATGGAATTCGAACAGCTAAAGATAACCTTTTCCCCCATCTCTCATCTAACCTAGAAGCTGCAGCGATCAATGACTATACAAACTCCTTTTCATACAAATAAACCAAACAATTTTAAATCTTAAATACACACAATATATTTTCCTACCTAGATCTGTTACTTGTCGATCAAAAGGGCAACGGATTGCTCTTCCATGAAGAGGGAGGCGGGTAAGGCAGTCATGACAGACTGTGTGGCCACAAAGCAGAAGGCGAGGAACTTTGTCTCCTTGCAAAGAAAAGACATCTTCACAAACTCCACACTCCAGCACCTAATATTTGGAAAGGAAACATGTGCTCTTTAATTGATTTTAATAGCACACATACTTTAGGCTAAAAAAAACTCAATCTAATATATTAAATCAATCTCGTTAAATTATCCCTCCATGAAAAAAAGTCTAGAGTGTAAAACTTTAAATCACTTTTATCATTTCATCTGACAGACCCCATAAAAATTACATCATAGTGAAATCTCCTTGAAATGTCAACTGTTAGGGATCAAGATAATGTTGTAAATTAACATCATCTTTATCTTTTGAAAATTATGTCTTGATTCATTATATCTGAATCTGTATAATATGTAATTCTACCAAAGTTGGGTTCTTAAACAATTTCTCTGCAATCACCTAGCCCCCAAAAGACCATCATTCATTTGAACAGAAATCATTTGAAATATGTACTAGGGTACAGTTACCCTTGTAAATGATCAAGAACTTGTTCAGAACAGACTGTAAGTAATATTCAAGTATTTTCTAGTATCCATTTATATTACATAATGTAAAGTTAAGAAAGCAGTCAGCTAAGACTTAAATTTCAATTTGTTGTTCTCAATTAATAAATATGCCCCTGGGTTAGAAAGTATGTTGTCTATATAATTCCAATTTCAGGCACATTACTTGCCTAAGGCCATGTGGTCAGTTAAAAGAAGTGACAAGAATCAGCATATTCTGATTCCCAAGCCCATGAGATTGTTTTATAATTAGTCAACAAACTATATTTTTACCAATGAAGCACTGTTGGTACCTTTATCTCCCAATATATTCAAAGTGTCATACAATTTTAATTTATTTTTTAAAAATACCCACACTGAACTGTTCAATTATATCAGTAACTACTATGTCAGCCATCCATGACCTGCTACAATCTGGCCTGCATCCCACTGCTTCCCTGCCACCCCCTTCAGACTCTATTCTCAAACTGTATCAAACAATTTGTAGTTCCCAGAACATGACAAACTGTTTGTTGCCTCTTTTTTATGCTAATGCTGAGGAAATAGCTAAACAGACATTTTCCTAGTAGATTCTTTTTTTAACATTAATAAACAAATTTCTAAACAACCGTATCTCCCAGTGTACCCACAGCTCATTCCAACTGAAATGACCACACCACCCTTTGGGCCATCATGCTTGGATAAGTGTTCATCTTAACACCCTAAACATGTTAATTCCATTATTGGCTTCCAGCCTGTCTCTCCAAAAGCGTTCAGAAACAGGGCATTACAAACAACCCAGTAGTAGTATGCTTATATAAATAAAGTCTGACAAGATTAAAAATTAAAAACAGTTCAGGGGCGCCTGGGTGGCTCAGTCGTTAAGCGTCTGCCTTCGGCTCAGGTCATGATCCCAGGATCCTGGGATCAAGCCCCACATCGGGCTCCCTGCTCGGCGGGAAGCCTGCTTCTCCCTCTCCCACTCCCCCTGCTTGTGTTCCCTCTCTCGCTGTCTCTCTCTCTGCCAAATAAATAAAATCTTAAAAAAAAAATAAAAAATAAAAATAAAAATAAAAACAGTTCAGCCCAACCACCATCCCCCAACAAATTCACAATGCAAGGTAAAAAGCAGAAAATCCACAGTGGAAATCAGACTTAATCCATTAAAAATTTAATACTAACTCTGTAATTAATTTGGACTTAGTGCATGAAATACAAACATCTTTCACTGTAAATTGATAATTCATAATTGGCTTGCATCCCAGTATGGTTCAAAAGAGGCTTAAATGTAACACACAACTCACAAGAAAAGACATAAAAACAGCTAAGTATCTGAAAAGATGTTCAATCTCACTCAAAACACTTTGAAATGCACTTAAACCTAAACCAATATACTTTTTTCAGATTAGATCAAACAGGTTGATAACGCTTGTGTAACCCTTGGTGTTGGTGAAGATGTGGGAAAACAGATATACTTGCTGACTGCTGTGAAATATTTAATGACTAATATAGGCTTTATGAAAGGCAATTTGACAATACCTATGAAAAGTTTACATAGCTTAGTAATTCTATTTCCAGGAATTTATCTGACAAATATATCACACATGTGTCAAGATCTCTATGTTATTCCTTACAGCACTATTTGCACTTGCAAATGATTGGAAACAAAATAAATAGATAGCAATACAGACTGGGAAATAAACTATAGTATATTCATATACGGCAAAACCAGGTGGTTTGTGGAGAAAAAGGAAGTTTCTTATGTATACACACAGAATGATTTCATATGAATAAAGCAAAGTGAAAAATATATAGAATATTTAGCTTTTGCATAAAACTGGGGAAAGAGAACATACATTTATATGTATATTTTTACACGGGCATACTATCTTTCTAGCAGGATACACAGGAAACTGATTACACTGGAATAGTGGCTCCCTATAAGGAAGGAAAATAGATGGGAAAAGTTACACATAAACTGTATTATACACAAACACTTAAATGTATCCTACATTTTTAAAAAAGGCAGAAGTTTCATTTAAATGGTCTCACTTCAATATCAAATTCATTCAATACAGAAAAGATATGAGAATTAGATATAAAATAAATTCAACATTTTTATAATGTCCTCATTTCTGTAACACCATAATTATGACCATAAACTCCAAACAATCAAATTAAATTTCAGTCCATTTATATCTTTTACCTCTGACCCCATAATTACATAAGATAAAAGAACTTAAGTTGCTACTACAGGTTTTTTTCAAAAAGCACTAATAACATACCACAGATTTATAAACTAAACACAGGTCCAAAAATAAACTTACTAGACTATTTCGTATCAACTCAGTAAACAAAAGAGTAAGAAATTCTTTCTTCAGTATTTATGAACATGAACTGTGGCTAACAGCACAAGGAATTAAACCCTAAATAAGAAAAAAGCTCTTAATTTTATCAACTTCACAAATATGCCAAAGAGAGCTTCAAACTTATTACATGTAGACTAAATTTTAATAAACCAGACCATATTTTATTTAAGTTTTTATTTTTTTTTAGTAATCTCTACCCCCAACATGGGGCTCAAACTCACCACCCTGAAATCAAGAGTAGCACACTCCTCCAACAGAGACAGCCAGGCACCCTAACCAGACCATATTTTAAATGGACTAAGAAGACTCACTCTTCAAAAGAAACTTTCCTAATTTTTTTCTCTCTTTTTTTTAAGATTTTATTTATTAGTCAGAGAGAGAGAGAGAGAGAGCTCACGCACAAGTAGGGGGAGCGGCAGGCAGAGGGAAAGGGAGAAGCAGGCTCCCCAATGAGCAGAGAGCCCGATGCAGGGCTCGATCCCAGGACTCTGGGATCATGACCTGAGCCAAAGGCAGATGCTTAACCAACTGAGCCACCCATTTGTCCCTTTCTGACTTTTTTGAACGTAAATAATTTCATAATATCAGATTTTTGTCTTTGAGTTTTCTAATGAAAAAACCCTCATTATCAACTTGTTCATTATTTTACCTTTTAGCATTATATACTTCAACTTTCACCTTCCAATGAATAATTTCTGCTTTCATCTATGAAAATGACAATGAGTTGTTTTTTTAATTTATGCCACCATCCTCCTTACAAATTATGGCATAAGGATCTTGCCAAAAAGGACTACCCTACTGCACAACTCAGGCACATTTTACATGTGAAGATAAAAACAAATTGAACCTCTAACATATCAAACTCTGCTGTAACAAATTTGAGTAATATAAGGCTTTTGTGTATTTTTTGAGATTTTAAGACAACTAGGATAACAAAAGTAGATACAGCAATAATATCCATTCTAATTACAACTTCTTGATTCAATCTAAATCACAAAATAATCTTTAGGTATTCTCTACTTAGGTAAAGCACAATTTAATAAATAAAACCTCAACCATGTAACATGCCTAATAACAGGGCTCCTCTGTATCTCAGATATGCTGTGTACCTTCAGAATAACTTCAATATAAAAAGGCCAGATGAATCAAAAGCCATCAATAATTGATAATATACCTGTGAGCAGAAATGTAGCATTTGTTGTCATATAAAACCAACATTAAGTGAAAAATCATAGGTGCCTATTACCCAAGATTTTAAAATAACTTCAGATATTATCGGGTATAGTGGTTCTCAACCTTGGTTGCACATTAAAATCACTTCTGGGAATGTTTAAAAAATATAGTGATGTCAAGTTCATCAGAACTTGGGGAGAAGGAACGTATCAGTAGGGTTTTTTTTCTTTTAAGTCCTCAGTTATTCTAAATATGTAGCCAGTAATGAGAATTACCCATAACTCAGATTACAACAATCCTGAAAGTTATTCTACAAACCGATGAGATCAGTTCTCCCTTGCAGATCTTCCATATGTTTATAGTGGAAGGGAAATGTGAATCCCACATATTTCAATTGATTTGTTAGTAAATACATTTTGAAGCATTTAAGCATGGTAGAATTTCAAACCTGAAGCATAGGGCAGTTCATATATCCTAACGTTAATGTTCAGCCATGCTGCTGCAGGGACACTTCTCAAAAGTGTTGACAGACTATACTAATAAAAGAGGAGTGGGCAGATCAACCATTACTACATGTCTGGTTATAGAAGTAGTGCAATAATGAAAACCAGATTTTAAAGGCAGTCAACCCTGGATCCATGACATACTGTGTTAACGTAAACCTGAGTTTCTTCACCTATCAAATGGTAATTACCATATACCTCATAAGTAGATATCAACGAGGTAAAATACTTAACATAATATCTGGCGATAACAATGGCTCAATTTAATAAAAATAAACTAATGCCTGTTAAGCTTAACAAAAAGGAGAGGACCTAGGCAAAGACCGGTCAAAGTCAGTCTCACAGGCCCAAAAGCTCTTTTCACAAATGTCCCCATCGGCCAAGTAGAGGACTGGTATGAGCGGAAGACCAAGCAACTCCAAGCCCGAAGAGATAAAAATCGCGGAGGGGATGGCATGGCTTGTAAAGCCTAGAGGGGCGCAAAGGCCCAAAGACGGCCGGGGCGCAGCCGCCAGACCTCAGGGATGAACCGAAGGGAGGCCGATGGTGGAGAACAGATCACGCAATGTCCCTCACCTTCACCACGGCCGTCCCTCGGCTGCCCTGACGGCCACTGTCTAGTCCCGCTCCAGGCTTGTTTACAATCAGGGTAGCCATCCTACGAGGAGCGGTGCCGCAGAAGCAGCCGTCACGGCCTTCAGCTGAGGGGCGGGGTCGAGCCACCTACCCAGAGGCCTCGGCGTTCGCCGCCGGCGCACAGGCGCAGTAAGACGCGGAGCGCCGCTGGGTTGACCTCTGGGATTCTCCTCCTGCCGATCACTAGGTCTTTAGCTGCACAGCCTTGTCTATATGAGCGCTTTGCTATTTATATTGGTATTATCCGGGAGTCTGCAACTGAGGGCAGAAATAAAATTAAAGGAAAAAAGAAGGGCTAAAGCAAGAAGTAAATTTGCGGGGTGAAACTCCCGCTTCAGTAACGATCTCTTCCTAATTGCCGAAGAGACGTGGGAGCAAAGGGGGACTACATCTCCCTGCATACAATGCGGTTTTCTTTAAACTACAAATCCCAGCATGCAAAATCCATTTCTTTTACTTCGCGTTGTACGGATTTGGGAAGCTACGTATTGTCACCGAGGAGTGGTCTCTTGAAGTCATGCTGTGTGACTGTGGCTTGAAAATAGGGCAGTATGTTATGTGTAGGTCTCTAAGAAGCAAGAGATGGCTTTGGTGAAAAGAAGCCCTTGAGTCCGTAAAGGACGTGCTAAGAAAAGAATTTACGGCATCACCAGCGCAGAGAGCCTGTTGGGAGTGATTTGATCTTCCCGAACGTCCGCTTTTCTGTTTTCTTCCGGGCTGCCTTGAACCTCTTCAGCTGCCGTAGGCAGTGGGTCGAAAGTGCCGATCAAAATGGAAGTGAATCCCCCCAAACAGGAGCACCTGCTGGCCCTGAAAGGTAAACTTTTACGAACCTGAATCCCTTTAGTCTGTTTTCTCCTCTTCTCTCACTAATTCTCGAAGCCTTTGCCACTTAGATCTGGTCCCTGGGATGTAGGCCTCGTTTTTCTTAAACACTGTTAGTGCCTGCCCTCCTGCTCTGTCCTTTGGCGCCGAGTGGAAGGAAGCAATTTCTTCTCTTTGCTTTTTAGGTTTGATAGTCTTCCTCTAGAATGGAATAGATACCTGGCAAATCACTCATTGTGTGATATGCTTCAGTTACCAGACTAGTTTTAACCGCGGAAGCTAAGGTCCCTACCTTACCGGGGAAAGCCCAGTGAACCAAGATGATTTACAATAGGCATCTACAGTGATTTTTCCTTGTCTATTATGCCTTCATGTGGCACTGATAAAGTAACTAAGCTTCAGCTTCATCTGTAAAGTTAGTCTAGTATTGCAGTAAGCAGTGCCAAGGTTTTAGAAATACATAGTACAACAACCTATAATTTAGATTTGTTAAAATTTCAGTTTACTTCAAAGTGTTGTGGATATGGGAAAATTAATGCCAACTTTCATTTTCTGCACACAGCAAAAATTTTTAATAAGTTTAATGATTTAATTGTATCATTATTTGGGGAAAACCAACAGGGCAGAGTTTTTCTGGAATTCTTACTGTTTTCTGAAAGCCTTTTATTTAAAATGCTTTCAGGTTTATTTCATCTGTTTTCTACTTCCACGAACGCGCTTCTTCTTTCTTGGATGCTGTACTGTGTGGTTACCAGTAACTTCTTGGACTGAGCTGAGAAAAGGCTCAAGAGGCATTTGAATTCAGTTACACTGCACTTAACCTTCCTTGTGGCATCCATTTTGAGGGACCCTTATCCTCTCCCCAGTTATGATGTAGGCATCACACATTCTAGAAGCTTACCAGTCCCATCTGTAACATAAAATCATATACTGATAGCTGAATTTAATAGGGTTGTCTCTGATCATAGAACTAAAAAACAATATTAAGTAATACAGCAACAGGACCTGTAAACTTAGCCTGAGCAAATGAGCTAGACTAAAATGGGTTCTTCTGGAGAAAAAGGAAAAGTAACTTGTCATGTTTTTTCTTAATCTTACATCAAGTATGTGGAATAGATTTTACTTAATATCTATCAGAAATTTAAGAAACTTTTTCAGGGTCACAAAGCTAGTAAGTGATTGGAGGCAGTATTTCAATACAAGGCCTTCCTCCATCTTTCCAAGACTCCTTATTGCCTCCTAATGAAGGAAACAGCATTTTCAGAGAACATTCCCTCATCAATTATTTTGATGGGAATTTGGAACAGTTCTCTTCGCTCCTAGGTATGATTTTATGCAAGCTGGAAGCTATTAAACACAGTTATATTCCAGTGATGTGGAAGCTAATTGCCATTGGGTATTTTTAGTTTTCTATTTTTCTTTATTTTCTGAAATAGAAGATAACCTGGGAGACTATTTTAGCGGCCTAAAAGGATAAGTCCTTTGAAATTCATGGATAATTTCAGTTTTATTAAAGCTCTTTGGTACCATTGTTCTCCCTTGTTAATCAAGAATTTTCACAAGCTTTGGGGCACCTGCCTGGCTCAGTCTGTGGAGCATGTGACTCTTGATCTCAGGGTGGTGAGTTCAAGCCTCACATTGGATGTAGGGATTTCTTAAAAAAAATAAAATAATTTATTAAAAAACTTTTCACAGATTTTAATTTTACTGATTGTTGGATGCCAAGTATATCAATTTATGTGGTAATTTAAGTTACTTTCTGATCTATGTAAAATATTAAGGAGCTCTCAGAACTTCATCATCCTCAGAGTACGGCATTGACTAAGTTCAAAAAATGAAAGAATTCTCAGTGCCATATCTTACAATGTGAAAGTGTAAGGAAGAGGAAAGAAAAAATAAAAGCATTATGAATGCTTTTAAGAATAGGCTTTCTATGTTTATTTTTTAATTTTTTATTTTTATTTTTTAAGATTTTATTTATTTGAGAGAGAGAGAATGAGAGAGAGCACAAGAGGGAAGAGGGTCAGAGGGAGAAGCAGACTCCCCGCTGAGCAGGGAGCCCGATGTGGGACTTGATCCCGGGACTCCAGGATCATGACCTGAGCCGAAGGCAGTTGCTTAACCAACTGAGCCACCCAGGCACCCATAGGCTTTCTATGTTTAGATTCATATTAAAATTATGGATGTTAAGGATCACAGTTATTTATGAATTTAAGTTGTCATATCTGTTAATGGACATTAACAGTAGGTGAAAAGAATCATGAGATTAATTACTTCTGACTCTTCAGAATCAGTGGTCAAATGAGTATTGTGACATCATGACAGGAGTCCCCATCCATGGTCATTCTGGCAATGGGAGAACCCCTTTAAAAAGTTCTCTAAGGATTTGGGGGAGAAGAGATACAACCTCTTTTTTTTTCTACAGTATTTAGGATTTGAAAGAGTCTGCATTATGGCTCATGCAGCTTTGGACTTGGTTAGGAAGCCTAACTATATGCTGGAACTTATTATCAATGACTTCATTTGGGGCAACTTGAAGACTTCTTTGTTCTAAGACGAAAAAAAAAATAGGGAAGGTCTAGCCTTGTTGGTCCTCCTCCAAAGTGGAATTCAGGAGTTATGGTACTAAGGTCTTGATACTGTGAAAGTCCCCCATTTATACAAAGGAAACTTCGTCACAAACCCATTCCTAGCCTGGTTAAAATCAGAGTTAAACTATTTTCATGTTACTAGTGTTTACTACTGCGAATGAAATAAAATCATTAAGTACTCTGTCTATATATTTGGTAGAGTTCATATAATTTTAAAGAATAAAATTATTTTTCTCAAGGCATTAAAAATTACAATGATTTTCATTGTCCTCAGTTCAGAGTCTCAAATTTTTAAGTATTACTACATTTTTGGTATCTTCAAATGAATCTCCTATTCTAAGAATCACTAATTTACCCTTTGTTTCTGCTATAGTCTTAATGTTATTCACCTAATATATTAGTAACAATAGTTCCAAATCCTTTATATCTGTTGAGTTAGACTTGTTGACTCCTAGCAGTTTTAGGCTGGAAGTGATCTTATAAGGCGTCTAATCAGATCCCTTATTTTGGTGAGATAAAACATTTCCGGTTTTGTGGATTACATTCACATTTACCAATAGCACTTGGTAAAATATTATATGGGGATTGGTTTTGTTTTTTCTTTTTCCCTATTTGTGTGTAGGCTATCCCTACCATATCTTACTCTTTGCAATACTTCCACTTTAGGTCCTGTTTTCCTCTGATTTGGAAAGAGAGTCTTATAATTAAAAATTACATTCTAGCGCTGAGGAGCGCATCTAAGAAATGTTTTCTTCATTAAGAGTAACTGGATTACTGCAGAATGACTACAGAAGTAATATTACATTATCGACCATATGAGAATGATCCCACACAACTGCCAAAAATTGCAGAGAAAGCAATTCAAGACTTTCCTACACGTCCGCTATCGAGATTTATTCCTTGGTGTTTGCATGATGGGTCCAAACTTCCACTCAAACCTAAAAGATCACCACCTGTGATTTCTGAAGAGGCAGCTGAAGATGTGAAACCGTACTTAACCATTTCAGAACGTGATGTTAAATCACAGAGTTATGATTGCACAGTAGATCTTTTGGAATTTCAACCTAATTTAAAAAACAGGAAGCACTTAATCCGGTCACACTCACTGAATGAGCAGACTAATTCTGGAAATCTAGATAAACATTCAGAAAAGGGAAGACAGCACAAGAAGAGGTTTTGGAGTGTTTCACTTCCCAACAATAATTGTACTGAAAATATTTTTCCTTTGTCTAAAAAATTGCAAGATAGTTTAAAGGCACTGAATTTGCATTCACTTTATAGAGCAAGATGGACTATAGAGCATGCTATTTGTAACAACCAAACTCTGGAAGACATTTGGGCAAAACTCAATCAAATCATCAGGCACAATGAACTTCCATCTTGTAATGCTACATTTCAGAGACACTTAGGCCAAATATGGGTGTTCTGTGATATTATGTACTGTGAATATGTGGGAAGTCTTCTTAAAGGAAGGTTAGCTCTTGCTGGGAAAATGAATTTATTTGTGCATAAATATGGTGTTATTTTTAGTATGTAATGAATTTCACTGATCAAGAGAATATTCTGAATGAACTGAGTATGATCTGAAATAATGAGATCAATCAATTTTTATGGGATTTTAACTTTTTAACTTTTTATTTTGACCCCTCCCTAAGATAGCCTATTCGTTCTTAATATGGTAAAAAAAAAAAAAAATTGTGTGGTAACTTGTATACATTTGTTTTCCAGAAATAAATGGCCATCAGTTGAGTTCCTAGACATGTCTATTAACTCAAGAGCTTTCTGGGTTATACTTTTAGTAGTCTTCTAAATGAATTGTGCTAAGTTGTTATTTATACTGAGTTTAGAGATAAAATGTTCTATCCCTTTTGTTCTGTTACTTTTCCAGTGGTTGAATTAGATATTACAATGAATTACAGTGAATAGTTTGGATTTTGGTAAAGCCCCAAAATGTAATTTTACAGTGTTTTCCCTTTACTCTTCTAAAGTGTAATGATTTTTTTTAAATAAATAAAACCAGTTCATTGCAAATGCTATTCAAGTAGCATGAACATAGTTCAAATTGGGAAACTAGCCCAGATTCTACCAATGTTTCCAAAAATCTGTAACTGACAATATTTGATGTGGAATTTTGAAACAAAAGTACAAAATGTATAATTTGCCTAAACCATAATGTATCTTTAAGGATATAACTTATTTTGAAGAGAAGTATCAAATGTGGATAAGAGATCGTTATTTAATCTATTACAAGTAGTTCAGTCTTAATGATGGTTAATGCTGATTGCTAGTTGACTGGTTCCTAGAGTTATTGTAAGTTTCCCATAAGCAGAATGTTATAAATTGGGTTTACACATCTCCTCATAAAAATACCCAAAGTGATTATACAATAAAGCTTGTTATG